ATTTTGACCTGTACCCTGAACAATTGTTTTGCCCTGAGATGCTGTTAATCTGTAACTTTGCCCCAACATTGAGCTCACAGGAACATGTGTTGTGTGGAATCAAGGTTTAAGGGATCTAGGGCTGTGCAGGATGTGCCTTATCAACAAAATGTTTACAGGCAGTGTGCTTGGTAAAAGTCATCGCCATTCTCCAGTCTCGATAAACCAGGGGCACAATGCACTGCGGAAAGCCACAGGGACCTCTGCCCTGGAAAGCCGGGTATTGTCCAAGGTTTCCCCCCATGTGATAGTCTGAAATATGGCCTCATGGGATGGGAAAGACCTGACCGTCCCCCAGCCTGACACCCGTGAAGGGTCTGTGCTGAGAAGGATTAGTGAAAGAGGAAAGCCTCTTGCAGTTGAGATAGAGGAAGGCCACAGTCTCCTGCCTGCCCCTGGAAACTGAATGTCTCGGTATAAAACCCGATTGTACATTTGTTCTATTCTGAGATAGGAGAAAAACTGCCCTGTGGCGGGAGGTGAGACATGTTGGCAGCAATGCTGCTTTGTTATTCTTTACTCCACTGAGATGTTTGGGGGGAGAAAAGCATAAATCTGGCTTACATGCACATCCAGGCATAGGACCTCCCCTTGAACTTATTTGTGACACAGATTCCTTTGCTCACATGTTTTCTTGCTGACCTTCTCCCCACTATCACCCTGCTCTCCTATCGCATTCCTCTTGCTGAGATAGTGGAAATAGTAATCAATGAAAACTGAGGGAACTCAGAGACCAGTGCCGGTGCAGGTCCTCCATATGCTGAGCACCAGTCCCCTGGGCCCACTGTCCTTTCTGTATACTTTGGCTCTGTGTCTTATTTCTTTTCTCCGTCTCTTGTCCCACCTGATGAGACATACCCACAGGTGTGGAGGGGCAGACTGGCCACCCCTTCATCCTGGGTGGGAGCATTTGATTTGCTGAGGCTAGATAATATGACTGTCCTCTAGTGACCAGGGACCAGGGAAAGGGCATCTGGCTTGGCTCCTTTCTATAGTAAGAAGTAGATCCTGCCTGCCTTCATGATCACATCACAGAGGAAAGGGCATTAGGATGCTAAGTAACCCCCACAACCGCAAATGACTATTTCACCTCCCCATTTGGACTTCTGTGAGCATATAGACATCACCAACAGTTTTGTCTTTGCTTTGTTTTTCTTGAGACAGGGTCTCACTCTGCCACCCAGGCTGGAGTGCAGTGGCATTATCATGGCTCACTGCAGCCTCTGGCCTCCTGGGAACAAGCAATCCTCCAGCCTCAGCCTCCTGAGTACCTGGGACTACAGGCATGTGCCATTATGCTTGGCTAGTTTTTTATTTTTTTAATTTCCCATAGAGACGAGCTCTTGTGATGTTGCCCAGCCTGGTCTTGGACTCCTGGGCTCAAGCAATTCTCCTACCTCGGCCTCCCAAAATTCTAGGATTAGAGTCATGAGCCACTGTGCACGGCAGTTACTTTATTTCTACAAAATATAGAGGCATTTCCTGTAACTCCTCAAATGAGTTACACCCCCCACAAAAAGCACTGTTCTAAGTGCTGAGTTTGCAAAGGCTTTCACCTCACTGAAGGGGAAAGAATTTCTTCTGTCTCACTAGTTCACTGATTGCCTCCTTCTGGCCCAATATCTGGGGGAAACTAAAGATCCATCCGTCCACTTGACTTTTGCTCAGATGCTTAGTGTGCAGCACATTAGCTTCCAGGGGCATTGAAACTTCTTCTCCAAGGGTTCCATTAGTGATTAGACGCGCACTTTAAAGTATGTCATGCTGCCACGTATGAGACTGGGACAGAGATGAGCTGGAACATGAGAGATGTGTTGAGGTGACAGCCAGGATTCTGCCATTGTTCTTTCAGCGTACTTCTGATGCCTCTCAGATTCCACAAGGGGAGGTGTTGATGTGTGTGGTTAAGTAACATGAAGCCAGAGCTGACACTGTGGCAGCTGCTCCCAAAGGCACAGAGTTTCTTTGTTGCCAGGAAAAGATGCCCTTGAATTTTCTGGGCGGAGGTAAGAAAGTTTGGCAGATCCTGCCTTCTCTGCTTTCTGATTGCCTTAATGGATTACAAGATAGAAAATAAGGAGCCAGAAGGACCTTCAGAGAATCTATCCATGGCCTGTGTGTCTTAGGTTCTCCCCAGAAATAGACTCTCAGGCACAAATTCAAGTGCAAGGAGTTTATTTGAGTGGAAAAGCAAGGAACTGAGACAGGAGAGGGAAAAAAAGCAGTAAAAGGTACGTTATCAAGCAAGTTACCACTGTGGGCACCTGGAACTTAATCCTACTGGAGCCAGCGCAGACTGTAAGCCTCAAGGTTATCCTGTACAAGGAGTAAGGCAGCTGGGTATTTAAACACCAGTCCCCATCCGTCTTTGGTTAAAGGCTAAGACTGGGAGGGCACTAATTTCCCAGCGCTTCCAGCTTGCTGTGTGAATGGGCAAAGCAAGCTCTGGTCACCAGACAAAGCCCTCGGGCAAAGAGGCAGATGCCGGCTGTTAAAAGTCAGGTGCTGTTCCACAAAATGCTAAGGCCCGAGGGGGCATGGGCAGGGCACCCAAAGCATCTGCTGTACTGTGTCCACTCTCATCCTCCAGACTGTGGACAAACTTCCTGTTCACTCATTCAGAGTGCAGCATAAATCTTCCCAGAATCATCCAGGCATGGTAGCTCACGCCTATAATCCCAGCACTTTGGGAGGCCGAGGTGGATGGATCACCTGAGGTCAGGAGTTCGAGACCAGCCTGATCAACATGAAGAAAACCCGTCTCTACTAAAAACACAAAATTAGCCTGGCTTGGTGGTGCATGCCTGATCCCAGCTACTCTGGAGGCTGAGGCAGGAGAATCACCTGAAGTTGGGAGGCGGACGTTACAGTAAGCCAATATCGTACCATCACACGTCAGCCTGGGCAACAAACTCTGTCTCAAAAAAAAAAAAAAATTCTTCCCAGAATCAATCGGGAAGTGCACATCCTCCAGTATCCACAAAACCAGATTTCTAATTGGTACAGGTTGCTTATTTCACTATTTGCTGCTCAATAACTCTCCACCCGTGTTACAGAGTCACTCGGGTTTAATCTTCTTTCAGCCCTGCCGGAAAACTCATCAGCAGCCCACAGAGCCTGACCACAGCCCTGGCATAACTGAATAAATGCTGACCGATTGACTAACTCTCATGTCCTTCTATTCAGTAAATGTCCTGGATATTTGGAAACGCCACAGTTCACAGCCAATGCACTTTCAACAGGTCCTGAAAAATCATTTGGAGAGGTTTACAATTTGCTAAATGTGTTGAGTCTGGGATTGGTAGAGAACCATGACTTTGGGAGAACAGAACGTTTCTCTTCTCTGGGACATAGGTCGGGTTCCTTCAGCACTATGGATAGAATTTGCTTAAACTGTGGGTCGCTAGCTGTGAGTTGCAACTTGGGGGTGTCTGTGAGAGGCTGGGTCGTTGGTGAAAGCAGAAACACTGACTTAGTTTTGTCTGGTGTATGAACATCCTACTAAGATTTATTGAAGGAATTGAAAGACCATCTGGGGTTTGCCATGTGATCTTATATCAATGAAGGGATATATTTGAGTCTCATGTCTTGCTGGTTTTCATCATTCATTTTTTTTTTCTTTTTCACCCTGAGTATCGGCCTTTAATAGAAATTGTGATAGCTCAGGATCAGGTGGTTTCATCAAAAAGGACCTTAATAGGTCACCTGGGTAGCCCCTCAGTCTCCAGGCTGCACCATGCTTAAACTATTCCTAACAGGACACTGCTTATCCATGGTCTGGACATTTTTCCAAAAGTGGGGTCATGCTGGGTGCAGTGGCTCACGCCAGACCAGCCTGGCCAACATGGCGAAACCCTATCTCTACTAAAAATACAAAAATTAGCCAGGCATGGTGGCACACACCTGTAATCCCAGCTACTCGGGAGGCTGAGGCAGGAGAATTGCTTGAACCCGGGAGGCAGCGGTTGCAGTGAGCTGAGATCGTGCCACTGCACTCCAGCCTGGGTGACAGAGCGAGATTTCATCTCAAAACAAAACAAAACAAAAGAGGGGTCAAAGAAATGCCATTTGCATTATCAGCACCTATATTTTTCTGCCCAGATCATAAAGTTATAGCATCTATCTTATTTATATCAAATATGTCATCTACATCTATGTTTACAGCTATATCATTTATCTATAGGCTATATCTTATAACATCATTTGCCTCTATATTTACACATACTCCACCTACATCTGTGTTCACAATTTTATCATCTCCAGCTCCATTTTCATCTTTACTATCTGCATCACCTATACCTATGCTTACATTACATCAATATCTACATCAACATTTTGATCTACACCATCTGTACCAGTGGTTCTCAACTGGGGCAGCTTTGCCCAGGGACATTTGGCAACTTCCAGAAACACTTCTTATTGTTACAGCTCAGGGTTGGGGGAAGAAATGCCCTCAGCATGTAGGCCAGGGATGCTGCTAGATCCCAGGGATGCTGCTAAATCCTGCAATGCACAGGATAGTCCTTGACAACAAAGATATATTCAACCTAAAATATCAATAGTGGTGAGGTTGAGAAACCCTAACCTACGTCACCTTCCTCATCTGCATCCATATTTATAGTTATGCCATGCACATCTGCATCTATATTTGCATCTACTCTATCTATATCTGTGTATATATCTACACCATCCACCCTACATTGGCATCTACATAATCGACGGCTACCTCGACAGCATCTACAATATCTATGTCAACTACATTGACATCATCCACTCCATCTACATCATCCACATCTACAGGATCTAAACTTTGCATGCACATCTATATCTAATTATATATGTGATATAACAATCAACACATGTTTGTTATATCAAAATGAGTGGTCCTTTTAGACTAGAAGGAAATTTTAATTTTAATTTTTCCCTCCCCTGGCCTCACACATAAAACGTAAGTGGAACAGATCCTTACCTGGCAGGGGAGATACCATGATCATGAAGGCAGTTTTCCCAGGGTGAGGTTTATCCATTGCACTCCAGACGTGCTGACCCTGTGATTTCCCCAAATGTGGGAAACTCAATTGCATAATTTGTGGCAGTGGGAACTATGTTCTCACTATTCCCTGTTTTTTTAAAAAAGGGAGTAGAACAGAGGCCAATCCTTGTCTATTATACTCCCTGAAGTATAAGAGGCACGAGCTCTTTTCTGACTCTGTTATTGCTTGCAAACACCTCAATATTGTTGGCTTATGGGCTTTGATAAGCAACCAAAGAGGCTTCCATTTTGATCTGGGTTGAAGTGAGAAGTGAAACATGTGTGTGATAAATTTCATTCCTGCTCTGTCTTTGCTTGCCAGCCTCTCAGGATGAGAGGGCATCAGATGCAGAGACACTTGTCTCAAAATTCATCACAATGGTGATAAGGAATAGTTTCTTCTTAAAAGAGCAATCACTGCACTTGGAGAACCTGATATGGTTGATCACATCTTGTTCCACCGGAACTGGTCTGGGCTGGAAAACATGCAGTTGACACATGGGAAGCCGCAGATACTGTTATTTCACGCTGGGCTCTTTGGGTCTCAGAATAGCAAAAGACATTTGATTCCATGACCAAAACAGCAGCTCGGGTTGCCACGTTCAGTTAAGCTTCCTTAGGTACATGAGCTGATTTGTCAGCCAAGGCAAAAGTCAAGTGATGTTTCTAGATGAAATTGAGAACACGGGGGATAGACAAACAAGAGCAAATCCCTGTGGCTTCTTTAGCCTGTGACATTTACTCAATAACTTTGCCTCCTGGTAGAAACCCATGCCTCCTGGAGACCAATATTTTTCCTCCAGGAACAAGATTGGCCTGAGGCAAAGTTTCAAAGCAGACTCTTTCTCACCTTTTTATATTCTCATTCTTTGTAGTGTTTTCAAATTCTCAATAAATATTAATACTTAGAACTTGGAAATGAGAAATCAGAAGTTATTTACTCATTATTACGAATTTAACATTTTTGTTTGTTTGTTTGTTTTGAGACTGAGTCTGGCTCTATAGCCCAGGCTGGAGTGCAGTGGCACAATCTCGGCTCACTGCAACCTCCACCTCCCAGATTCAAGCGATTCTCATGCCTCAGCCTCCCAAGTAGCTGGGATTACAGATGCCCCCTACCACACCTGGCTAATTTTTGTGTTTTTAGTAGAGACAGGGTTTCACCATGTTGACCAGGCTGGTCTCGAACTCCTGACCTCCAGTGATCCACTCGCCTCGCCCTCCCAAAGTGCTGAGATTACAGGCATGAGCCACCGTGCCTGCTAGATTTAACATATTTTAATAAATAAGAAATATTCTGTCTAGTAGTATTTAGAAGGAACTATAAGCAAATATCCGAACCTTGTCAAAGGCTAGCAAACATTACTAAATAGTTTTTGAGTAATCTAACGTTCAAATCTAGCCCAGCAAAGTTAACAGAATTACATAGAAATCACAATTCAAAATCGTCAATTCATAGATTTTTTTGCTTCCAAAAGTTGTTATTTCTTGGAACATCACTCTTTGGGTCTGTGTAAAGTGTGCTATAAAAAGTGCAAAGTTCTTTTTTAAATTTTATTTTTAAAACTTTCTCTCTTTTTTTGTTTTTTGAGATGGAGTCTCTTTCTGTCACCCAGGCTGGAGTGCAGTGGCACAATCTTGGCTCACTGCAACCTCTGCCTCCCGTATTCAAGTGATTCTCCTGCCTCGGCCTCCTGAGTGGCTGGGACTACAGGCACCTGCCGTCATGCCCAGCTAATTTTTATACTTTAAGTAGATACGGGGTTTCACCATATTGGCCAGGCTGGTCTCAAACTCCTGGCCTCGGGTGCTCCACCTGCCTCAGCTTCCCAAAGTGCTTGGAATATGGGTGTGAGCCACCACCCCTGACCTAAAAAGTGTAAAGTTCTTAATATTTATTTTATTTGCAAGAATGCCTCCCAATTAGCAGCAGACAGGGCCAGGAATACACGCTTGTAACATGGTATTAATTATAAGCAAGGCAGACTGATCAGCCCATGGCACCTGCTCTACATGTGCTCCCCTCCTTGCTCTCAGAAATGCTGACCTCAACCTTCAACTGCTGCGTCAGCTGATCTTGCCTTCAATGGATCCCTCAATGAATCCCTCATACCAGTGGGGCCTCTGCTGATTTTTAAGCTTTAATTCTCACAGAATTGCAATACCTTTCTTCCATTTTCTCAACTGATCTGTCCCAGAATTGGGGATGTGGAAAAGTATATAAATTGTCCACGAAATGCTGGGAAGGAATTTTCTCATGGCCACACTACTCATCAGGTCATCAGTGGGGACTCCCTCTTCCCTGGCCTGGTGCTCTGACTGCCCGAAGTTTCCTTCTGCCTGGTCCCTCTCGACTTACCCTTTTCCCTTCATCATTTAAGCTTCAAGGATACACACTCCCTACCAGAAAAACTCCAGGGTTCTCCCAGCTGGACTTCAGACTTGAAGAGAACAGCAATCCGACTGAACTATTTCACCGTGACGTATGAGTAACTAATATGCCTTTTGTAGGAATTACAAGCATAACCAAAATAACGGAAATATTTTTGCCAGTGTGGGAAAAATAGTCCGACACAGCATTCCCTTCAATGATAGCAGAAGAAAATGCTTTCAAGGGCCACCTAGATGATAAATTATGGGCACTGGGCTGGACGTGAGACCATAAAGAGTGGTAGAGACAGAGTGTGGTCAAACTTCAACTAAAGGCATTTGAATTCAAATGTTTAAAACCACCAACCAGTAAGAGCCAAATGTAACTCACTTCAGTGACAGCCACTCAGGCTACGTGTTTTTGATCTCTCTGTTGAATACTCCAGTGAGATATGGGCCTAATGGAAGCCAATTCTTGTTGCTAAGCCAACTTCACACCCCAGAGAGTCAGAATCACAGATTAAAACATTCTAACCACCATAGTTTAAAAAATAGGTAAAATGTCATTATTTTTAATGTTAGACTTTCAATAAATTTAGTAGTCAAATGAGAAAAATCATATCCCATATGTAGACTACGTATTTGCAAACAAGGTAAGGTGAGGAATTCAGAAACTTATAACTACATGCTCCTTCCATTTAACCAGTGCACCTATGTTAGGAATGTTCCCTTATATTACACTGTTTGAATGCCCTCCCTAATAGTGGTTTCCATACCTGGTTGTGCATTATTCATTCATGCACATGCAATATGCATATTGTTGAATGAATGAAAGAAGCACAACCAGATATGGGAACCATCATAATAGCCACTATGAGCCAGGTACTGTTCTAGGTGCTTGGAATAGAGTACACAATGAAACAGGCAAAAACTCCTCCCCTCATGGCGCTTAGATTCTAGTGGGAGAGATAGGAAACAAACAAGCAAAACATACGTGGTGTTCTACCGGTGGTGGTAAGTGCTTTGGAGAACAACGGAACAGAAGAAAGGATAGAGCATGCTGGCAAAGGGAGAAGGAGAAAATCTCAGAAGACCACACTGAAAGGTGGAATTGAAGCAAATTCCTGAAGTAGGGAGGGAGGGAAGGAGCATGAGAATCTCTGGCCCTGTATGAGGTCACAGTAAGGGCAAAGGACCTGAGGCAGAAGAATGCTTGGCATGTCTGAGGAACAGCACAGAGGCCAGTGTTGCTGGAGAAGAGTGCATGAGGGGGAAAGCAAGAGACATGAGAGACACACTGAGAGCCAAATTGTAAAGGGTCGGTAGCCACTGTAAGGACTCTGTCTCATGAGTGACACGAGAACTGTTGAGGGCATTTTCAGTAGAGGAATGACATGACTAAAGATGTTAGTGTACTCTATTTAGATATCATATGGAGGATGGATTGTAAAGAGACAAGGACAGAAGTAGGGAGACCAATGAGGAGGCCATTCATTGTGTAGGTGAGGGTCGATGATGACTTGTGGCAGTGGTGGTAGTCAATGGAGGTGGAAATCAGTGACCAGATTCTGGACATATTTTAAAGGTTGAGTCTACAGGATTCTTAAAAAGATTAGCTATTGGATATTAGAGGACAGAGGAGTTAAGAATGACTCCAAGGTGTGTGGCTAAGCACCTGAAATTATGGAGACACCATTTACTGGGATGAGGAAGCCTAAGGGAGCAGCACATTCACACAGGAATATCAAAAGTTTAGTGTTGGACAGGTGAGGTCTGAAATGGATATGCAACATCTAATTATAGATGTCAGATAGGCAATTGCATAGTTGAGCCAGAATTCAGAAGAGAAATTGGAATTGGAGTTATAAATCTTGAAGATGTCACCTAATTAATGATGATACTTAAAATCAAGAGATTGGATGAGTGCACCAAGAAGGAAGAATGGATAGAGAAGAGAAGAAGTGCAGTGCTGAGGCTTGGGACACTCTGATGTTTAGAGATTGAGGGAATGAGGAGCCAACAAAAGAACCTGAGATGAAGAGCTCAGAGAAACAGGTGAGTGCAGTGTTTCAGGAACTAGGTAAGAAAAGGATTTCAAGGTGGAGAGAATGTTCAGCTGTGTCATAGGCTACTAATAGGTCAAGCGAGATGACTACAGGGCAATATTTTGAACAAATGTATGCCAACAAATAGGAAAACATAGGTGAAATGGACAAATTCAAAGAAAAACACAAACTACTTAACTGGACTCAAGAAGAAATAGAAAACCTAGGCCGTGCATGGTGGCTCATGCCTGTAATATCAGCACTTTGGGAGGCTGAGGTGGGCAGATCCCTTGAGCTGAATAGTTCGAGATCAGCCTGGACAAGAAGCAAAACCATGTCTCTACAAAAAAAAAAAAAAAAAAGTAAACATTAGCCGGGCATGGTGGTGCATGCCTGTGGTCCCAGCTACTTGGGATGTTGAGATGAGAGAATCACTTGAGGCCAGGAGGTTGAGACCACAGTGAGCCGTGATCACACCACTGTACTCCAACCTGAGTGACAGAGTGAGACCCCGTCTCAAAAAACAAACAAACAAAAAAAAGGGCAGAGGGGCAGGGTGGCTCAAGCCTGTAATCCCAACACTTTGGGAGGCTGAGGCCGGCAGATCACAAGGTCAGGAGATCGAGATCATCCTGGCTAACACAGTGAAACCCCATCTCTACTAAAAAAACAAAA